GAGATCAACGACGCGCTCGAACCCTTCATCTTCGAGATGGTCTCCGGATACCGCGGCTCGGTCTCTGCTGAGCACGGTATAGGCTCCGCGAAGGTCGACGCGCTCAAGTACAGCAAGGGCGACGCGAGCAGGTTGTGGATGAAGAAGATAAAAGACCTCTTCGACCCGAATGGGATCATGAACCCTGGCAAGGTTCTCCCGCCATAGCAGCGGGTTTGTAACGGTCGGTATCGGATAGGACGAACACGACATGACGTTTTCCTGCGTCCGTTCTGATGTTTCAGAATAATCGAGCTTCAAGCCTTCAAGCTTCAAGTCCCAAGTTCGAGTGTGGTTCAATGTGCGGTACTTCTTCGCCGGATGCCACGGAATCGAGGAAGCAGTGCGCTCGTTTGCTGTTACGTATACTAACTTCTGCACCGCGCGCGCGCAGGAATAGTTCACGTACCGCGAAGCTTTAGAGTGTGCCAGTGCCGTGCATGCTCCGGGGCGGTGCATACGAGCGTCACCTTTGTCCTGGCTGGCTGGCCAGTAGGGCAGCTTCGACGATCAATGGCAATGCTCTGCTCGCAGCGCACGACCGGGTTACTTGCGCTTTACACTTGTGCTTTCCCGGCGGGTGGACTTTGTGTTCGCTCCGATCAAAACGCACATGATTGAATTACTGCCACTTGCGTCTCTTGCCTCCAACGTAGTGACCTCTGCACCATACCTACGGGTCCCCTTCTCTGGCAACACGTCCTGGTAGGCCAATTGCGAGTGCGTGCGAGGGTTATCGAACGCAATCTGGGTTCCTGGGGAGGAGGCTCGTCGGGATGCTTGGGGCGCTGCATCTTCTACTTTCACTGCCTGAGCAGTGCCAGTGTCGGGTTCCTTGTAGGCGTGGACCGTCCTCGACTGCTTGTGTTCGGAAATGGCGTCTTTACGGTGCATCGCTGTCCTGGCGCAGCCCGTTTAATGTGCTCTCGCGACCTGCCAAGAAAGCGAAACTGGTCTGCGCGTCAGCAGCACCGCTGCAAGAGTCTATTTCGTCTCGACGGCTGAGATGAAATAGAGTCAGCCGACGCCGGCCCTTTTTGGCTATTCTTTGCTGTGTCACGTCGGGCTCACCCGGAGCAACCACTCTTCACGTGACACTCAGTCTACCACGAGCTCATTGGGACACTACGTATCACATAGGTTCTCCTTGACGCCATGTTCCTGTGCCACACTTCCTCGATACTTGTATTCACTGGAGCGCTGAACCCGGCCCGAGTCCGCTCTTCGCCGCCATCTATAGACCGCGCACAGAGAATTGCTGTGCTGAAGAAGGCGTATGCACCGTTAACGTTACTTTCCCGCAAGATCTGAGGTCTGCGGATAGCGTCTTCTCGTCATGTGAAGGGCGAGCGTTCCACTTGCTATTAGCACCTTCGGGATTTTCAAATTCCCGAGCGCCAAGCGGGATTGTAGGCAAGTTGTAGGTGCTAATCGAAGTCCTGATATAAAGACAGTTCTCGTTTGCGGTTGTGTATCACTGGCATCACCCCGACTCTTCACAGCAGTCGTCGCTTGCTATGGACACCCCCAACTCCCGCCCCTCCGCTGAGGCTCAACTTGGAATCGAGCTCCTCAACATGTCCTCGATGTCTTCACCTACCATGCCGTCTCCCTCAATGCTGTCGCCGTCCCCGTCGTCCTACAAGGATGGTGCGGAGTCGTACATGAGGTACGGCACAGTTGCAGTCGTTGTACTACGCTTGATAGCTAAGCGCCGCCGCCACAGTTCCGGGCTCAGTGGCAACGCTGGCATCTCTGTTCTTTCATCCGATGTTGGGTAGGCAATCAGCGTAGTTGGGCTTTTGCCTCCGCTGCCACCGAGTCGCACCTAGACCTAGACTTTTCATCTTAGTTCCGTATCCTCTCAGACTCCTATCGCAGTCTCGATTTGCATCATCCCAACGTCCGAATTCACCCTCCTGACTCTTGTGTTATATCTCACAGCTCGTAAACTACTATAGTTCTCTATAAACAGATTCATGGTGTTCCAGTCGTCTGGTTGTTTCCGGTGTCTACTCAAGATCTACACACGACCACAACTGAAACTTGCACGAACGCAAAGACCGGAATTCCGAAAGTGTCAAGCCTCATAGTTGTACAAGTGTATCAAAAGCTGCTATTCCTGTCATCAATTCATTTATCTACAATTTCGAGAGTAAGTAGCGCTAGAATACGAGCAATGCGAAATAATACAGATCTTCCCGAGATGTCTACGCTACAGAGTCAAGTATCGGTTCAAAGTGGCTAGCAAGTTTCTCCAAGTCGGCGATGAGGGCAGGAGTCCAGTTCTCTGCCGCGGTAGCCTCCATCAAGTCGTGGACGGCGCTCGACTCCTTCGCGTCGAGTTCGCGGGGAACCCGGAGGATATCACTGACGCGACGGACGACGGCGCAGATTCTCTTATGCTCCTCTCGCCAGGCCGCCTTCTGGCACTCGCGCGAGCAGTACCTGACGTGCCAGCATTCGGCGCAACGTTTGAAGCGATCCGGGTTGAGTGCCCTGCTCGTCGTGCAGTACGTGCCGCCGCTCACCGCCCAGCAACGCCTCTCCGACAGCTTGTAGAAGAGTAGAAAGGCGGCGCCGACGAGAGATCTGGTCGTCGATGCCCATCCGGATGCGAGCCTTTGAACCTCGTATACGATATCGAGATTCCGGATGCCAGTGTCGGATAACAGAAGATCGAAGGCGGCATCCCTTATCAGTTCCGTAGTCCGCTTCACGTCTCCGCGGCGCTGGTGCAGCAGCCACTCTGGTTCGAGGGAGGGATCTGGGGGCTCGACAGAAGCGAATCCGAGCGCGTGATGTAACGCAACGCAGAGCCGCGTAAAGTGGCGCAAGCAACGCTGCCTGGTGTCTGCCGCGACCGGGTAATTGTCGAGTCCTACAAAGAGACCCAGTGCTATGATCCATGCGTTACTCACATGATGAATGTCCGTGAGTCCTCCGGTCTGCTCAAGTGATCGCGCGTTCAGCTGGCGTAGGTTCGGGACCGACATGCTCAACATGGCCGCCCCGAGGAGCGAGAGGTGCGAAGTCCTGACGAGTAGAGAAATCGAATCCAACACAACGTTCCGCCCGGGCGATCGCGAGTCCACGAGAAGTTTCTTCAGGTCGCTTATTCCAGTCGCGCCGAGCACAACGAACGCGGCAGGGAGGCAAGAGTCGACGACGGCGATGACTGTCGGTCCCTTGACGACGTCAGGGATGACGGCTGCTATACCGGTCGATGGCCAACACAGCGAGCGGAGCGCCGTCCATCCCAGGCCAGCTATTGTGTCTCGAGGACCAAACGGCAATAGGTGCTCAGCCCGCGCCGGCCACATGCGTCGCTTTCCGGTGTCCTTGAATTTGTGCAAGTCGCGGCGGTCGTGGAAGGGTTGCAGCGGCGCAGAGACATAGTCCGAGACGTTGCGCAAGACGTCGTCCAAGGAATTGCCCCACTCGAACTCGTGGGAGCGGTACTCGTGCAAAATGTCCAGAAAGTTGCCTATCTCACCGCGCAAGTAGGCTTCCTCGTACTCAAGCTCGCGCTCGTCGGACATAGTATCCAGGTCGCCGCTGCCGCGCACAGACGTGTTCTTCTGCTTCTTCCCCGCCGGCCTTTCGATCCCTTTAGCGCCAATTTCTTCGCTTGCAGACGCTGTGCAGGCACGTCGTTGTAGTAGGTTTCCAGCAGAGCATCGATAAGCGGAGAGTCATCGTTCAGGCATGTGCAGATTTGGATCAAGTTGTCTGCCGCGTCGTGCTGCTTTGCCGCCCGCGGAATGGTCAAGAAGCGCATGCAGATGTCCAAGAAGTCGTGGTGGTTGTAGCGCACGATCTGAGCGTTCGAAAGTGTGTTGGGGCCAAGAGAGATGATAGCAAAGCAGACCATGATGCACTCGACGCATCCTTTAGGCGCGTGCAGTTCAGCTAGGGCACACATCAAGATCTCTATGCAGCGGTCCGCAACGCGTCGTCGACGGTGTAGTCGTGCTCGGTTCTGAATGGGGTGACACGTTCATCTGGTGAAGGAATATCTACAGACGGCCTCAGCGTCAGCGATCTGGCGCGAAAAAATTGCACAGAAGGACGCACGTTCATAGCTCTCCGCAAGCACTGGTACTCGCACACCGTGATACTCGTGTTTCTTGCCCATACGGGCTAGCACTGCGGTAGAAATTCGATGAAAGATCGAGCCTGTGACGAGAAGGTGGTGGTAGAAAGTCAAGAAGCGGAGTACCGTCCGCGCGCGCCGCGCGTCGTAGGATGTACAACCACCTCAAACCGCAGACGCTGCACTTCTCACGCAGCTTCATACCGGTCATATAGCGTTTAACCAGTACCATCACAGGCTCAAGCGATTGACTCTCCGTTGTGTGGTCGATGCAACGAAATCGATACCGTGGACCATCTCCTCCTCTACGGTAGCGTAAGTTATTCCAAGTCGAGAATGTAAGTAAATAAGTAATAGTCCGAGATTCGCAGTAAGTGAGCATGTAACTGTACGTAAGTGGATGCAAGTTAATCACTCATAGGGGCTAGGGTACCAAATCCGCATCCCTTGCACCGTATCCTCGACGACAGTGGGTAGCAGTTTCGTAGCTCAAGACGTTGTCAGCGACGAGAGGAACATGTGAGAGCATAGGTTGATGTCCTAGGTCTGGAGGGTACATACTACACGTCGAAGCCTCGCGCTTTGTGAGACTGGGTATAGTTCCCAGTCTCAGCAGTAATTTTCCCTGTCTGTGACATGCGCATATGCGCGCGCTCTCTCATACTTTACAGCAAGTCTTATACCAGACCCCCCGTCATGACTTGGACCATGTGATTCTCGTATGCTTACCAAGTGGGGTCGTTGCCTGGATCGCGGGGGTCATGGTATGAATAGAAGAGGAAGTTATGGTACCCAATGAGCAGTCTGAATTTTGGGGAAAGCTTTTTACTGCCGTTATATATGTTTGAAATGAGCAGCAGTCATGTTCTTGGTGGTCCAACGGCTAAGACACGCGCCTGTCATTCAGTTCGAATTTCGAGCTCCGACCGCGCGTAACCCGGGTTCGACTCCCGGCCAGGAAGTTTTGCTTTTACATATTATGCTTTACCCTTTGACTATCTTTTTGTCTCGGAGACTGCCACGAGAACTCCTTAGGATATAATACACCTTTGTACTCCATTTGTAGATAGCGGTCGGACTTAGCCGCGGAACACGTCGGTGCAATCGTGTCGCGTCTTGCCCGCGTTCTTCCACCAGACCACAAGTCCCCTTTCTCCCATGGCACGCAAGAAGACCGGCAACGACGCCCGCGACCCCTCGCCGCTCCCGGCAGACGACGCGCACCTGTCCCCGTCGTCGTCGTCGGCAGCGCTCTCGCAGCAGACAAAACCGGCGCCCATACCGCTCATTCTCGCGCCCGAGGGCAACGCCGGGCGCGACGCCGTCAAGGTCAACAACGCCAGCGCGAACGAGATGAAAATAGCGTGCGACGACGCCGTCAAACGGGTGCGTTTGTCGTTGCCACTGAGCTCGAGCTGAATCGCCGGCGCTCGCAGTTCCTCGCGCAACCTGGCGCGTTCAACACGATACATATGCACACGGACGTCCGACTCCTGCTCGGATGGGGCGCGGTCATCGTCGCGGCGTTGACTGGCTTGTATGGCTGGAAAATGGAGTTTGAGAAGGCGAAGCCTGTCGTGACGGCCGGTGTCGTTTTGTACGTTGCAACCTTTCCACGTATGTTGCTGGTTGCGTTACTTACCCTTACACCGCGACACAGGTATATGATCTTGTCCTCTGCACAAACACTCTACGCCTACTTCATAGAACAGAACATCGTCTTCGAAGGCAAGCGCAAGACTCTCCAGCGCCGCGTACGTCCCGTGTCCAATCTTTCCCACATACAGGCCTTTCTGAACACAGAAATATGCGCAGATCGAGACGGAGCGCATCACATTATCCTCAAAGACTCTGCCCTCGACCCCCTCGACGCCACCGAAATACGAAGTGTCCGTCTCGTACGTGCACTCGACGAACGGGGGCAAGCTTCTCCTCGGCCGTGCTCGCGAGCGTGCGGAGATGCCGTACACTGCGTTCTTCGACGCGGCGGGCACCATGGACCAGGACCGGTTCGACGCGTGGCTGCATGAACTTGTCGGGCGCGCGATGGGCTCTGGCGCGGGCGATGCGAAGACACAATAGGCAACGAGGCGTGTGTATATAAGACGCGCCAGCGACGATATTATACATTGGATGCTGGCTCGTTGATGGTCTGAGCGCACATGTACAGTGTTCACGAGCAGTGTGCAGTGTTGGAAGCTGGCAAACAACTTCAAGCTGCTCAACGGCTAGCTTGAGGAATATGCAGAAGACTCTTTTACAAGGGAGTCATACTCTCGAACGTCGTAAGCAAGTGTAGCCTAAGCGTCCTCCCCTCATGAAACGTTGATCTGCGACGTCAGCTGCTTTGAAGCTGGTGACTGCGTGCCATCTACGTTCAGCGGCCGGGTACGTATTACCCAAGCAAGGACGCTGGACGGATCGTCAGACGAGAGGGTGACGAGACTCGGAGCAACGCACCAGACAATGGCAATTTGCTGCACGCGCCAAGGTATCATGGCGCAATAAACGCTGAGATCGTTATCGATGGGCGCAAAGTATACCACGGTCGCAACGATCAGTAGTAGCGTTTGTATGAGTAGCATCGGCCAGACGATGGCGAACATCGCGTTGGCTATCTGAAGCGGGGTGTAAACGAAAGGAGGATGGATGGATGGATGGATGGACGAACGGGAACGCCGAGGTTGTATTGTCGTGCCCATTTGCGGGCGAAGAAGGCGCTGACGGAGGCGTTTACGTAGCCAAGCACGATGATGTATGGAAAGCCGTAGCTGAACACTTCGTCGAATACGCTCCCGATGCTGCATAGACGGTCCAGGTCCAGGTCAACACTTCAGGGCAAGCTTGAAGGGACATACAGGAGGTCTGCGGTACTCTGTCTGCGCTCAGATTCAGAACTAGCGTCCCAAGGTAACAATGAGACGCACAGTGATCCCTCGCAGCACGGCTGGCCCTCAACGACGGCGGTCATCCACATCGCGAAGCCCGACAATCCAACAAGCAAGTCGAACGCAAGAGTAATCCAGCGTCCGTTATTATGTCGCTTGAACACCGGATGTTGGCCCGTGATCTCCCAGAACGCCGCACGGCAAGCGACGACGACAAGCGCGCTCCCAAGACCCGTAAAGACGACGAGCGGCTTGTAAAGTCCCATTTCGCGGTACGTATAAACGTGGTACTGTGCCCATGCGTACGGCTCGCCTGGTCCGCGATGCCAGATGGTGCCAGCTACGACGAGAGCAGTGACATGCTGCCCGATGAGACAGAGCGTCGCGAGCGAGACGGAGTACCATGCGAAGCGCAGGTGGTGTCGTCTGTGCGGGCGCAGGGTGAAGAACGCGAGCACGAGACTGGCGACGAGCAGGATCGACTACAAGGGCGTGTCAGGCAGCCTCCAAGGCGCGAGAGCGACGCACGCTGATGCTTATCACGACGCGAATGCCTGTGAGCCCCGTGGAATCAGAGTACATGGTGGGAACTTGAAGCGCTACCCCACGGCGCGCACCACGAGTCTTGAAGACAGCGAGAGATGCTGCGCAACAGGCGCGCATGGGCCCGGGACAGCGCCAGCGCTTGTTACGTCGGTGAAACGCGCTTCAGCGTGCGAAAGATCGACGGCGTTAGGATCGTCTGTCCGAGCAGCGCGCAGAGGCAGGACAAGTTGCGGGAGTCGGACTTGCCCTTTGTGTAATTTCACTAGGATCATGGTACATATGGTTCAGAAATGGTACATTTATTCCGGATGGCTTGAGACAGAGAATTTGGACTTGAGAACAATTTCCTACGTCTTGAGACACCTTATGTGGCACCTTAGCGACCCCAGAGAAGCCTTCAGTTTGATTTCTAGTGAATTGACTTACTCAGATTGGTCTCTCGTCACGGCGAGCGTATCGGGGCTCATTCCGATGGGACGCGGGTTATATTATTTTGTCCGTCACTTTGTCGGCCATCGCCTCCGCCGCCCCTCCTTGACCGAGTTGCCCACTCATGCATTGTTGGGGGTAATGGAAGCGAACAGTGTACTATTTTGATTTCGTCTGGAATCCTCTGGAGCTCAATGTTTGCCCATAGGCTAGCTATCGGCTACTCTCACGCAAACCACGCGAGCCTATAAGTTATGACTGGACGAGCGTAATGGGATGAAGGACCCACCGCTGCAGCTGGACCGCCGCTTGGCCGTGTGACAGGCGAGCGGGCGGGACGCGGGCACTGCGGCCGTCGGACCCGAGGCCGGACGGGGGCGGTGGGGCTTCGAGCGTGCGGCGGCTCGGGATCCCGACAACCCAAACCAGGGCGCGGCCCACGTCGGATCCCGAGCCGACCCCCCAACACCAGGGCCGCGCACGCGGAAAGGAAATGGAAAGGAATGGGAGTGGACAAACAAGGGAAGTGAAAGGAAAGAAGAGGGGAGAAAGAGAATCGGAGGACAACGCCAACGTGAAAAAAGGAAAGCAGGGCCAACGCGCACAGTGCCATCGCACTCTTTTCCACAGCGGAGGAACAGGACCAGCACCAACGTGCTCTTCTCCGCAGCGGAGGACGGCGCCGCCAGGTGGTTCTTCTCCACAGGGAGGACGGCGCACAGGCGCAACTACACAGGTAGTTCTTCTCCGCAGGGAGGACAGCGCACGGGTAGGTCTTCTGCACGGGCAGGATAGCGCAACGGGCGCGAGCACGGTGGGGACGGGCGAGGAAGAGCGCAGCAGGCTGCCGGGATAGTGCACGGGCACGGCGGGTATATCGGGATACGGGAAGAAGCAAAGGCGCGAAGACGACGTGTGACGGGAAGAGATGGGGACGACGCGTGGGACGGCGAGCAATGGCGAGCGAAGGCGGCGAATCACGTGCAGAGGTGACGTCACGCGTCAAACGGCGACGACCTGCCCGCTCTCGCAGCGCGCTGAGCACGAGGTTGGTCAGCAAATGCTCGAAAGGCACGCTACAGGCGAGCTGCGGGCAGTGCGCACCAGTTGTCCGAACCGAACCGACGTCGACACCGGCGCATTGCTCGCGAGCTTGACGGCTGACGGTTGACGCGCGACACGCGTCGCGCAGTGCTCAAATGCAATACGGGAGCGAAGAAAATGAAACGAGGGCAGCGGGACGCGAGCAAGACGGTGCGGACGCGCGCGACATGGGCGGAGCGGACAAGGAGCGGACCCGGCTCCGTTTGCTGCCGCTCCGCCTTTTGCTAGAACTCGTTCAGGACCCTCGCCCTGAACTCACTCTTTCTATGAAGGATGACCTTTACTTCGTGCACGAGAATGAAAAGGAGATTCAAGCTACAGCCCTTAATGCCTTGAATTGGAGTGTGAATGCACCTGCGCCTCTGAACTATGCGTCGCGGAGGCAACGGCCGACAAACCCGCGTCCCTATCGGAATGAGCCGCCGATGCGCTCGCCGTGACGAGAGACCGGTTTTGAGTAAGTGGAATTCATTAGAAACTGAGCTAAAGGGTCTTATATGATCCTCAGGGTGCCACTTAATCTGTCTCCGGAGGTAGGAAACTATTCTCGAGTCCGATATCTATGTCTCAAGCCATCGGGAAATGTTAAATGTCCCCTTCCTGAACCATATTATACATACGGGCCGCAGAAGGGTAACGAGTACAGAGGATCATGGTCTTACACGAGAATCTCACAAGCTCATTACTTCATCTCACGTTCATTTGAGGAATACAATCCTGCGGTCATACTACACATTATACATCTCAGACGCAGACGAAGGTAGTCTTCGAATCTGCTGCATCAGGCGGACTCCTTGGTACTCAGTGGTGCCTGCAGGGGTGTGCTGGCACCATTTTCAGCGCCGAACGAACGGGAGCGAACGACCCAAGCCAGGACGCTGTGAGATGTAACTACCGTTGCTTGCCATGGGAGATCTTGTCTAACGAGACGCACCCTAGAACCACGACCTGCTGCGCACGCCATGGGATCGAGACGTAGAAGACGATAACGTCCT